GGAGGGGGGGCTAAATGAGAACAAATTTTTAAGAAATATTCAGGACGCGGATATTTTCATGATGTTCCTCAGTTTACTCTAAACCAAAATCAACGTTTTCCTCTTCTTAAGGGAAAAAAATCAAAACAAGGGGAAATTAAAACTATTCGGCTTACCTTCTTCATCAGCAAATTGTCCCCATCCTCTTGCTCTAAGTGAAACTTTCGGGTAAAAAGAAAAAAAACAATGACAATTGTAATAATAAAAAAAGATTAATCATTTTTGATCACAAAAATATTGTCCAAATGTACTTGTACTGTGAAATTTGCCTTGTGTTTTTGGTAAGAAGAAATATGACAGCTTTAGATAACAACTGAATGTGTGGTTGATAAAATAGACAATAATTCGGAAAGGCAGGTGTAACTTTGTGTACTCTTCTCAAAAATGTAAAATTCTACGGCTGTAAATTCAAGCAGTTTTCACTCGAGGTTCCAAAAGCTAAAATCAAAAAAATTATTCCTACAGCCAATGGGAGCGAATTTTGACATCATCATTGGCCAACTAGAACTCCACGTAAAAACTGGCAAACTGCAGGAAACGCAGGGAAAATGAAATGATCCAAATCAAGACTGGTTTCAGTTTTGAATCTGATTGGTTGAGAAAGTTGCGGGAGTATTCTGGACCAATCACAGAGCGAAGTTTAGCAAAACCAAAAGAATCATGGATTAGAGAAAACTGCTCTAGGTGAAAGTTGATAGTCACAGATCAATCATTTATGAAAATGGTTCGTAAGATGAGCCTGGAATTACTTGTTATTAATGACAGCGTCAAATCTCGCTTACCTTAAAATGACCACAAAACAGCTCAATGGTGTCTAAAACGATAAGACCTACTTCATTTGCAAGATTTCCTTCCATGAGCACACGAGTTTCAATATTGAGGTTTATACCTTTGAACGTAGATTACAAAGGAGAAACCTCGAATTGTCAAAAATCCCAGGTAATAGTATTATCAACTAACTGGTTGATCTGACGGTGAATCAACGAATCGTTCGCTGAAAGAGACCTCACTTTTTGAGAATTGATTGAAAAGTGGTTTATCTGGGGCTTTGCCAAGCGGGTACGACTAAAGAAATCGACCCGTCACAGTAGGACAACCAATTGGTTTTAATAAATTAATTCAATCAATTTAGTATTTCTTAAAACTAAAACTTCATTTAATCCACTGCCTTTTCTTTTGACAGGCTAGTAAAACGTCTGGTACGAATTCTAGAAATTTTTACCTCCGCTGCTCGCTCCTCGGGAGTGACGCGTCTTTCCTTGGTTGGAGACTCCGCCCTGGTACCTCTGCTCAAAGAACTGTTTGGCGGTTTCACTGTGCGTGCTAAAACGGTCGAATTAACAATGAATTATTAAAAGAAGACGTAGGACTGATGGCATGATGACTACTGGATATGTAAATGTTAAGGAAAGCGGGGAGGGGCGGAGAGGAGAAGGATTCCACAGAAGCTAAAGCACGAGATGAAGAGCTGAGAAACAAACAGCAAACTGGTCGACAGACAGACAAATTAAAAAAAAAACACACAAACAAACCAAACTTAAACTTAAAAACACAAACAGAGACAAGAGTAAACTAAGTTACAAGCTATAAAATGTATCAGGAACAACAACAACGCAAATACTTCCTTCAAGTTCCAAAAGAACATCAAAAGCAACTATATCAAGATATTTCCAAATGTGAAGAAACCTTTCAAAATTAAACCGATTTAAGTAAGCGAACTACGCAATGAATTAGGAGACAAGTGTTGGATTGAATACCCCTTGTAAATGAATATTTTTAGTGAGATTACATGATTGAGGATGTCTGTGAAATTGCAGAATCGAGAGTTAGGAGAAACATTTGTTAAATATACAGTAGTTAGTAGGAAAAATTCCTTCGTTCTCACCACATTCTCAAGATTATTCCATGCGATCAGTACATCAAGAGTAGAAGCTTGAACATATAGCTCAAGTTACTATTAAGTTATTACTGAAAATAGCAGCTGAACAGACAACCTGTTCAGGTAACTGCCTTATTTAAAGGGTCATATACATGTTAAACATTAACACTGTTCTTTCCCCATCTACATTATTTGCTATAATAAGTGAATACGCTTTTACGTTCGTACTTCTGCAATGGACGCCATATCGCTTTAAGATATTCAAAATCCCTGTTTAAAGCATAAAATTAACGAGGTTAATATTGTATATCATTTAGCATTTAGTTCAATAAAAGAACTGTCACCATCAGAGCATAGCTAAGGACAAAAAATAAGAACGCTAATTTTTTGGAATCGATTTGCCTGCAATTTCCTTTTTTTTTTTAGACTTTATTTAGATCTGGTATTGTTAGTTTAAGTTAAGCGATGACAAAACTATCGATCTTTTCCGAAATGGTTGGGCTCGAAGTCGTTCCTCCTCCGCTTGAACTAAACCTTTCTATGCCGAGGATTTGTGAAAGAGATTTATGGAACTTCATGGTCCTCACACAAAACTCTCATATAAGGTCAATAACTGTCAAACAATGTTAAACTGAATACTTCAAATTTAAAATTACTAACCAGGGCTCGGTTGTTCAAAGAGCGGATAACGCTATCCAACGGATAAATCGCTATCCAGCGGATAATTGTTACCAAAAAGTACTGCTCTATCCACCGGATAGAGATTTATCCAGTGTATAGCGTTATCCATCCTTCGAACAACCGCGGCCAGAAGGTTAAAATTTTAAACAAAAGTCGTTGACAGCGCTCCTCTCTCTTTGAACTTTCGCCATAATAGGTTTCCCCTTAATTTATTTTAGTCCTAACAAAGAGTCTTTACACAGAAAAGTGTTTGTAGTTAGGAATTTAGTTAGTTAAAAGGCGTAAATCAAGAAGTCTGTTGTGAAGAGAATAGATACGTATGTGGAAGTTACGTACAGTCATGACTCTACCACAACGTACTGTATGAGGTGACAGTTAAATATTAAGTCACGCAGTCCGTCAGTCTGAAAGTTAGTCAATCAGTCAGTCAGTCAATCCGACATCACGCTGGTACGTCAGTCCGTCTATCAATTAGTCAGTCAGTCAATCAGTCTATCAGTCAGTCAGTCAGACATCCTGTCCATAAGTCTGTCGGTCAGTCAGCCAGTCAGTCTGTCAATCAGCCAGTCAGTCTGTCAATCAACCACTCAATCAGTCAGTCAGACATCCCGTCCATAATTCTGTCAATCAGTCAGCCAGTCAATCAGTCTGTCGGTCAGTCAGTCAGTCAGACATCCTGTCCATAAGTCTGTCAGTCAGTCAGTCAGTCAGTCATTCAATCAATCAATCGAGCTGTAATTACACATCAAACCTCCTCGACTCTAAAAGTAAACCTTATCACTTTACCTTTGAGAAGTTATTTTATCCTCTCCAACGTACTGAAAGTGCTTTAAAGCAAGTCTGCCAATAAACAAGATGCAGTGCAGTTGAGTCAAGGGCATAGATTGTTACAAATAATAATAATAATAATAATAATAATAATAATAATAATAATAACAAAAATAAGGAACAAAAATAAGAAACAAAAACACTTTTCCGACAACTTACTCGAGCAAATCAAACACATCGATAATGGCAGCGAATTTACAGTAGTTCTTGTCCTGCTGCATCAAATACAGAACTGTAGGGTGCCAGTGAGGACGTTTGACTGTAGAAGACAAGATCTGGCGCCACCAGTCCAGGATTACACCTGTGTGAAAATTATTTCACTTGTGAAACAAAGCCAGGGCTAATTTACGCAACTTTCTCCGTGAAATATGAGTGCATTCTTAAAACCTCGGGGTAAGGGGAAGCCTGTGAGGAACAGTAGAAATTGGAAATAACCTCAAGGGAACATGAGCTTATCTATGTACTCGGTTAGACTTGTAGAGCGCCGGATTGCCGCGCGAGAGGTCGAGGATTAAAGCCCCTGGCCAGACTAACACTCAGGGTCTTAAAATAATTGACGAAAATGTGCTGCCTTTGCTATCACCTCTGGTAATGGTTGGACATTTTAGTATTCTCGGGTATGGACGTAAGTCCCGTGTCCTGTATCTTGTCTTTACTGGTTAGCTGGGGACTTTAAAGACGGAACCCACGCACTCCTCGCAAAGAGTAGGGAACATAGCTCCAGGTGTTGTGGTCTGGCCTTGTTATTGTTCATAAACTTTAAAGATCCCCCATGAGTATCTCGTATAAATCCTACGTGATTTGGTAACTCGCATGTTCCCGCAATTGAAGCCGGTTGTGTTTGCTTTGAGTCCTTCCTCTCTTTTCTTATACTTCCCTTTCTCCGTCTTAATTAGCTGTAGCATCGATTACGACACTCACTCGAAGAGAGCCAACTTCACATACCTTGCTCTAAGTTCTTGGCGATGTACAACGCACATAGAAGGAGCTCCTTCGTCTCGTCCTCATCTAGTGGCACTTGCAGAGCTATCTGAGTGGCCTCCCTAAGTGGAGCAGCCGCCTGCTGAGTGAGTGAATCACTCGGACTCTGCTTCAATACCGCCGAGTAACTTGAGCTACGATTGGAGTCTGCGCCAAATTCACTATTGGGAACAGTCATCGTCGAGGAGGTCTGAGACATTTGCTGCCCGAGGATTGGGTTCGATAAGTCGTACTTGCTACCATGGAAACGAGGGGCGTGATCCATAAGGACCGAAAGTAGGGGAAGGTAAAGCGTGCATATACGGGCTTGCTTTTGCTGTCGACAAGAAATAGAGACAAGCTGTAATAATTAAAGTTGGTCAAAATTCTGGTTCGTCAAATGTAGGAAAGAGCTAGGTGAATTCTGTATGCGAGGCTGACCTTTTGGAGCCGCTGAGGCTTATCCAGGTTTCTGAGGGGTGACGTGACTAGCAGAGTACTGCTTCTCCTACTGGATATGATGCCAGTCCATCTTGGGGGTGTAGCCCCCCACCCCTCACTCGTTACCCCTATCCCCAACCTACCATATCATATCATCAGGTCTCGCCACTTCCAAGGGAGAGGGAAGAGAGGTGTCTCGTTTAAGAACAGCAAGCCAACCATTGTGTCAACGCCGACGTTTCCCACAACCGAACTGAAGAGCGACTGAAATATATGGAATACATCTATACCTACCTCTCCATCATAACGGTCATCAAGTTCATGTTTAACGAGCATGTTTCTTAACACCCTGATGGCAAGTTTTCTGATGTGTCGGCCCTGTGTAAGAGCAGAGGAGACCTACAAAAAAAGTGTAAAAAGACGCTTTTAAATATACCCTAACGAAAACGTAAATATGTAGATAAGAGGCTCACTAGCGACAAAAAAGAGCCTTCTTGACTCGATATTTAGCATCTGTAGGAAACACGACGCTGAGATTAGCTGTATTGTGGAACGGCATAAAAAATACAATAGTGGTTAAGGACAGCGGACGACACAGAGTATTTTAAAGCGATTACTGTTACTGTGTTTTGAAATTAAAAGAGTTTTTTTTGCTTAAAGGTTGCTAGAATTGATCGTTGCTAGTGTCGTTGCGCACATGTTAGAGTCCTTACCTCCCGCAGAAGTAGTCCCACAAGGAAATACCTCTTACAGTAATCATCTGTGAGCTCACATTCATGAACACCGCCAAGAGCTGGAAGAACGAACAACAACAATATCAAGGGACATGACAATTGCAGCTCTGACCCTCAAATGAAAGCCCGATTTCAGTGCATTGTGTAGTCCTTATGGCTCATGACACGTTTCTTCTTCCACCCATACATAAACCCAGCTATAACTTCAAAAATAAGCCCCAATTTAATATGCCACACCTTCGCACTTCCAGAACGATGAACACTTTTATATTTGCTATGGCAAAGAAGTTTAATGGCTAGATTTTTATCGATACGATATCCTTTACTTTTGTTACGGCACGCGTGATAAAGATAGTAATAATAATGATGATAATGATAATGTAGATACTTTTAATTAATTTACATTTATTTTAATTAATTTACATTTATAGCTAATATATTTTATTTAATTTATTATTATGTTATAATATTGTAAACTGCTGGTATAATAAGATGTGTAATTAGGTTTTTGAATTTTAAATTTTAAATTTCTTGGATTGTAAAAATGTGTAATTCAGCCCTCGGGCTGCAAATGCTTTTGAGATTAAACTATCTATCTATCTATCTATCTATCTATCTATCTATCTAAGAAAACGCTATTGCATCAGAGAGGAAATCAACAAAAACCACAGTAAATCGATCTGTGTCCAATTAACTCTCAATGTGACATAAGCGGCTAAAATTACATTAGCTCAGTAGAAATGCTACCTTTCCGAGCATAATCTACCTAGCAGAGGTAATTAGAATACTTTATAAAAAGGAGCAGCATTTTGCCATGAGGTAATAGTCGTGAAGGCCTACCACCACCTTTTTTTGCTTTAAAAACGTGAA